TATTTAAAAACAAACAGACAGATAAAGGTAAATAAAGGCAGAGAAATTATTTAACTCAAAAGTTGATGAATTACTTTTGTGTTTAAGCCAAATATTAAACACAATCTATAGCAAAACAGCTGTTCAGACTATTAAAAATAAATAAATACAAAAGAAAAAGAAAGAACGCCATATCCATAGGTAAAAACTACAAAAAAGAATGACTGAAATATCATGAAACATCTAAACGAATAAAAATCTAAGTACAATACAAACAAATACGGGTATATTGGTATGAGGCGTAACAAAGGCATGTGAATAAGATATAAACAGTGTGTGAAGTGAGTCATCGTTCCATGATTACAGTGCCCCCATACTGCCCCCGTGCGGCCGCGTTTGGTGTTTGCAGTGCGCTGGCGTGCAGGCGAACATGCATTCACTGGAGCAACAGATCCGAGCGCATGCGCAATTCATTGTTTTGACTGAAAATGCCGTCGGTTTCGAAAACGGCGGCCAATGCGTCTCCTCAAACCGAGAAACCTACCCACTATACGTGAGTAAAGCTGCTGCAAAGAAACAACAAAATCGTTCGCTGCTGAAAATGCTCGTTTGAACGCGCACCCTTGCTCGCGTGCATTTTCAGCATTCCTCAACTCCTGTGCGTGCGTTAAAAACATGGTGCTTTTCCTGGCTTTGTGACTACCTAACGTTACATAGCAGACAGCGACTGTACGCTAAAGACATCTGCGTCAATACAGGAAACTCTAGGATCTTAAATCACCAAACTGGTTAGCCAACCGTTAGCGGAATCGTTTTGAAGTGTTTTGTGCTGTTGATGAAAGGGTTTTGATGGGTCTGGTTGATATTACACCGTCAACTTGGTTCGCTAAATGATTAGCCAGGAACTCGCTAACCAGTCCGCTTGTAAATAGCTCGGCCTTATTTTGAGTTCCCTCTTGCTACGCACATTTATAGACGTACGCTCAGGTGCTCTGTACGAGCTTTACGACGAAAAACATACGTAGTCTTCACTCAGCATAGCAAGCTAACTCTACTGACCCAAAATGTATAGTAGGCTACAACACGACTCCCTGCTAAACTTTTCCCTTGGCTAAGCTCTTACTTGCTAGCGGATAGCCGTTTAAATCCCGCTTTGTGTTTGCCCTGCTTGTTTCAGATACTTGAAGGAGTTCAGGACAGAGCAGTGCCCGTTGTTCCTCCAGCACAAGTGTACGCAGCACAGACCCTTTACGTGCTTTCACTGGCATTTTCTCAACCAGCGACGAAGGCGACCCATACGAAGAAGGGACGGGACTTTCAACTACAGCCCCGACGTTTACTGCACCAAGTACGACGAGACCACAGGCATCTGCCCAGATGGCGATGAGTAAGTCCCGCAACTTCAGTCAGGGCAGCTACATGAGTGTGTCACTGCGTCCTGGCAGCTGTTGACGTTTCATGTTTGGGATGAGAAGCATGTTTGTTTTTATCTCAGTTTACTCTTGTCATGTGCTGTTTTACATTTTTCAGGCTGTATGACCAAAATAGCTTTCCTGAAAGGTTTTAAAGAATTTTAGTTGTTTATGTATAATGAACATGTCTTTGTCTCGCATATAAAATGAAATTAATAACAAGTAAATAAGAAAAAATGATGCCAGCATTAGGTAACATATTTTGTGTTTAATTTTAACATCAGTATTGCTTAGAAATGTCCATCAAAAAACGACTCAGTGTTTTGTGTTTCTGATATACGGCTGCACATTTAATCGAATATTAATCTCAATCGTGATTTTGATTTTCCACAATAAAATGATGATGATTAATTGATATTGTAAATATGTCCTTCGCCAATAGAACATAAAGCAAGAGCAAATCAGACTCTCCCTCACGACATGTCTGCCTGTGCCAATCATAGCTGTTACCTGCAGCGCTTTACACAGCCTCAGGTTTCCTAAATGCACTGGACCGCAGTGATGACATACTGTAGATAACAAACCGTTAAAAAGTCTGTCAGCACAGCAGAAAGTGAAGAGCTCATTCCTAGAAGTTGCATCATCATCCGTTTTTTAGAAATGCTTTGGATTTAGGGCAGGTGATGTTAATAAATGCAACAAGCCTGCAGCATTTTTTCTAGATGTGTTGCGCCACAAAGCAGCACAACTACTCAATGTTCCATCCACTTTACAAAGACTCCATAAAATCACCAAAGCAATCACATTCTGTTTGGGCAACGATGTGCCTCCATAAAAATGAACTTCAGGTTCACCATTCAGGTACAATAAATTGCATGAAAGGCTTTATATTGTGCTTCAAAAGGTGCACTTCGGTCTGGTGTATAACACCCTCAGAATTTTTAAATGAATATTAATGGAGCACAATGTAAAAGTAAAAGCTGTACTTATTTTGGGGCTTCTTTTTTTTTCAATATTTTTCTTCTAAAAGCTTCACTGAATGAGGACCAGTTTTATTTGAATGCAAAATTTTTTACATAGTTTTGTCATGCAGTATGAATATAAAAACAGCTTTATATCTTTTTGTTAGTTTTTT